TGTAGTCAGTCAACTGTTTTTAAAGTCACTTTACTATTTACATTGATGTGGAAGGGGAGTTGTCATCAGTGATGCATGGCAGTGCCGGGCTCCCCTCGGAGAAGAGCATGTGGTGATCGATGCTTCACTAAAGGTCTTGAAGATTGAATATATTTGGAAAAATACTTTTGTTTTTATTTTGATAACTATACCTGGAGAGGAAGCTCTATCGTTCATAGTATCTAAGATATGACTCTATAAGCCTCCTCACCCCTGCCTGATTAGGAGGCCCATTTCATCATTTGTGTGTCCGTTTATTTGTTTAATTGATAAAATAACATTTCCTGGAATTATAAGCCTACTTATCTTTTCCCACAAGATACTTCAAAAATAGTTTTTCATCAAATGAAAGATAGCTATGAAAACGTTTTTTGCAGGCTATAATGAAGTTTAAAATCAAGTCCTGGAACTCAAATTTCAGATGCTCTTGTGATGAATGGGTAAACGAGCCTGGGTGTGGTCTACCCTCTAGCCATAACTGACTTTTGTAAAACGGAGGTACTTATCTTTTCCCACAAGATACTTCAAAAATAGTTTTTCATCAAATGAAAGATAGCTATGAAAACGTTTTTTGCAGGCTATAATGAAGTTTAAAATCAAGTCCTGGAACTCAAATTTCAGATGCTCTTGTGATGAATGGGTAAACGAGCCTGGGTGTGGTCTACCCTCTAGCCATAACTGACTTTTGTAAAACTGAGGCTGCATGCGAAATACCAGTCATATGCCTAGATAAGAATTTATAATGTATGTTTCCCTACACCTCATTGAGGTCTCCCAGAGACCCAGTGTCACACTCAATCACACCAACAATAGTAAACCCTCACATTAGAATGTAAGTCAGCATCCCCTTTCCTTTCATGGCCTTGCCTTTCTTTGTTGACCCTGCTGATGGATGTTTAGGTTAGCCATCTTTTATTCTTTCTAAAGGCAGCAAAGAGTGTTACAGAACTATCTAAGGCTTAGACTCCGAGGTTTGGTGTTCCCTTCAGCGTAGCAGGTGATGCACCCTCAGTATCTTGCTCCCCTCACAGCAGGGACAGAAGGTACACGTTAGAACACGCCCCTGAGATTAAGACACAGGAGCTGCCACATAGATGTGCTGGGGACAAGGGACAGCATCACCATCAGTCAGGAAGAAACAGGGAGAGACTGAACTGGGTGTACCTCACCGTTGTCCACTGAGAAAGGGGCTGTCTGCCTGGTGATGCCCTATTTTTGTTGAGTTTTAGGAGTTTTCCTTTTGTCACTTCCAAACCTATGTTTGTTTGGAAATAAACAGTGTGAGATTTTTCATTAGGGATAAATAAAGCAACAGGGGTCTCAACAGTGCTGTTCAGCTAATGGACTGGTACACATGCAGGAGACAGGCCCTGAATTAACAAGTAGAAGTAGTACATAGAGCATGCAATTCCTCGTCAGCAAGAGTGGACCTTCCCCCAGCATCCTGTCCCGCAGCATCCTGTCTGCGAGGAGTTGCTACCTCTCAGAGCCCAGCATCCACTTGGTGAGGGCGCTCTTCATTCCCTTGTCACCCTTTCCTCTGTTATCTTCAAGATGGAATTATGAGTTATTGGAGAGAAGGAGTAAGAAGCATATCAAAGAATATTTTGTGGCTTTGCATAAGAGGCCATACTGGTTTGGGGCTGTTGGTTTTGAGTGTGCTGGCTTCATCATGAAGCACCTGGGTTTGTTTTTTTTTACTGAAAGATGTAGATAAACTAGAGAGACTCCAGGGGAAGGGCAACAAAAATGATGTATGACTTAGAGAGAAGGGGAGAACAACACTCTATTAATATTTGAAAGGTAATATAAAAGAGGGAGAGAGATTATTTACAGCTGTGGAGAGAACTTTGACAGGAAACGAAGGCTTGCATCTAGGAGCAGGGGAAAATGAATAGGGTTGAGAAACACACACACAACGCATAAGAAGTGTGATTAAACAAAGAAATGTTAACTCTCATACAGCTTTTGTTGCCAGGAACTGGAACGGCAGAAATAAGTGATGGTTCTCAAACTGAGGACCCACACAGTGTGACTCACGCTGTCTTAATTCCGTGCATTTCATTCTTAGCTTTTTAAGTGTGTACATTAATTTCCCTCTTCGGTGTTAGGATTTCGGAGGTGTTAGTAATAAGTCCAACATGACTAGCTCTCCTTTACTGAATGTCTACCTTTGGCAGGGATTGTGTTTGCTTTGTTGTTTATATTTTCATTTAACCTTTATGTCAACTCTGTAATATAAGACCTATTTTTTCCACTTACAAGGAAATTGAGATTCAATAACTTGTTCAAGATGGTACATATATTGAGTGACAGGATTGGGGATCACGTCACGGTATGTGACTCAACCGATGCTCAGGTCTATGCTAGCTCCATGTCCTGGGTCACTGTGCTCACAATAGTTATTGGGATCTACTAGGTGACCAGAGAAACAATTTGTATCCAAGTGTAGGGGGAAATAGTTGGCGTCCAGGGCTGCCTTCATCCCACTTTTCTCTTTCCTTTGAGAGATATTTTCTCAGTGTTATGTTATGGAAATATTAATTGTCTTGTTCTGTCAGTTCAGTTATTCCATTAGCTTTTGGCCATCCTATTAAAGTGCTCTGTACACTCTCATTTAGGAAAGGAATATTTTATACGGCAGGCATTGTCCTGTATCTCCCATGCCAGTGTGATGGGCACCTTTTGTTGTGTTCTGCCTTCTGGTCCTGCTTCCTGCTGTTGTCACTTTCTGGCGTAGGGTGTCCCTATACCCATGCAAGATAGGCAGAAAAGTAAAAGGCTGGGGAGCTGGGCCTATAGCTCAATGGTGAGGTATGTACTTAACATGAGTTCAGTCTCCGGCTCCCAAAACAAAAGGAGTTGAGTGTCTGGGTGCTTTACAATCACTGCAAGAAGTTACTAAAGCTGGAATCCAAAGGCCTAGGCATTAATGCAGACTCCAGCTACTGTTACATCCTCTTGTGTACCAGACACCTTCCTGTGCTCCAGCAGGCTCCTCCTCCTTTCAGCCTCCAGGGTTACTGTGCATAGCATGGAAAGAATGCTTGTAAATTGAATTTTTAAATTTCAGAGTGTGATGTAAGTGAAGGAAGCAGAGACTCAAAGTTAGCATCACTTGGATTCACAGGTCCAGGGACAGCTGCTCTTGGTAAACACTGGATATAGTTAGTAATGGTTGAGACTTTGGAGAAGGTTGTCATTATTCAAGAGGGCAGTTCCTAATCAAACTCATTGGCTCATCAAAAAGAAGGGGGGCTAATTGGGAAGGGACAGGGAATCATCAGGAGTGGGAGGGGAACACACAAGAAGGCAATAAGACAATAGGACTTTATTATATATATGTCTGAAAAAAGAGAGGGCAGTGTCTGATGGTTTGTTTTGTTTAAGAGATGGAGTCTTGCTGTGTCACTCAGGCCATCTCCGGCTGGCCTCAAGTTTCTGTGATCTAGCAGTTCTCCTGCCCAGACTCCCAGATAACTGAGATGATAGACATGTGCCACCATGCCCAGCTCAGTCATCAGATTTTTATTAAGGACAATGCCGATATGTTTCAAGGAGGGCACACAGTGAAGACCACTGCCAGGATGAGGTGGAATCTGAAATGTGGCTGAAGACGTTGGTGGCTGTCATTGAAAGTTTTATTTTTCCTCTTGTCTTCCTCCTTTTAGAGCTATGTGCCTTTTCCCTCAGTCTTTATGCTTGGTTAAGTTAAACTCCTAACCCCCTTTTAGGTTTTTTGTCTTCTGACAAGGCTGGGGGAATAACTTTAGCCAAGGAGTGATGGAGACCTTTGAGGTCAGGCCGTGGAACTGACTGTGCTCCCTTCCTCCCCTCTGCACTCACTACTCAGAGGATCGATGATGATGCCAGCATCCACGACAGGCTTCTCTGGGCAATTCACCTCAGCGGCCTGGACGACCTGCTCCTCTTCCTGTCCAGCTCATCTGCTGAGCAGCAGTGGAGTCTGCATGTGCTAGAGATTGTTTCCCTTATGTTCCGTGACCAGGTAAGACCCTGGCCTATTCTCCCAGTCCCCTCCATCTATGCACCTTTCTGCTACATGGCCAGAATTGCTCTTGTAGTAGCAGTAAATTACCTGAAGAAGGCAGGTGGTGGGGAGAGTAGCTGTTTTCAGTACAGGACCCTATCACAGTTCTGCTTTGTTTTCCAATCCTAGTAGGAGTGACTGTCCTGATTCTCTTTCTTCTCTTATTGTTTCAAATCTAGAACCCTGAGCAGCTGGCTGGAGTAGGGCAGGGATGCTTGGCTCAGGAGTGAAGCACAGATGTGGCAGAACTGGAGGTTTTGCGCTACTGAGAGATGGCGGAGAAGAAAACTCGAGCCCTCCAGCAAGGCAACAGCGAGGTGAGGGACAGAGGGCCGCTCTGCCATGTTCCTGACCTGCAGCAGGGAATGCTGAACTCTTAGGCCAATTCAAGGCGGGGTAATGTTTTAAAACCTTAACACTCCCAGAGCTGCTGGTGAAAGAGAGTTGACTGAAGCATCCAGAGAATTGAGGATTCAATTTGGAACCTTTTTCATTTTCCTTGCAGGCATTCTCGATTTGGGGGCTCCTACATTGTCCAAGGGTTGAAATCCATTGGAGAAAGGGACCTCATCTTTCACAAAGGCCTTCACAATGTGAGTATTCACACACATCTGGGATGGAAACACCAGTGTTACCGGGCCTGAGAATGGTGACCATCTCTGGAGTTAAGGTATCTGTTTTTAAGCTTAGAAGGTTGGCAAGAGTAGAAGTGGCGCCTCTGGCATTAGCCACATTGTCTCCACCGATAGTACCAGAGACAGAGACTTTCTAAGTGTTTCTTCAAGGGATGTGGAAAGAACTGCAGTGCAGGAGGCAGGGAGTGGGGTGGGGGGAGCTGGTTGAAGTAATTCTAATGCCCCAACCCACATTCTCCCAGCTCCGAAACTACAGTTCTGATCTGGGAAAGCAGCCCAGGAAGGAGCCTAAACGTCGCCAGGCTGCCCAGGAGCTATCCGTTCAGCATCGATCTGCCCTCAACGTGAGGCTCTTCCTTAGAGACTTCTGTTCTGAGTTCCTGGAGAACTGTTACAACAGGCTTATGGGTGCTGTCAAGGTAAGAGCCTGGGAAGGACATGGAGGCAATTAGGGATAGCGTAGAAAGACAGCCAGAGAGATGATGTGACCAGTGTTAGGTAAGATGGGCAGCCTCCCAAGGAGTCCAAAGGAGGCTGACCTTGGAGGTGTGAACTGCAAAGGGAGTTGGGGGCTCCTGTGTGGGTTATGATGAAACAGGGTTCTGGGTAGGACTGGAGAGATGGCTCAGCTATTAAGAGCACTTACTATTCTTGTAGAGAATTAGAGTTTGATTCCCAACACCCACATCAGGTGGCTCATAACCACCTGAAACTCCAATTCCAGGGGATATGATACCCTCTTCTGGTCTCCAAGGGCACCTGCCTGACTTGTGTACATATCCACACACAGACAATTTATAAAATGGATCTTTAAAAGATGA